TCTTGGTATCTAAAGGCAGCGAATAGTGTTACAAACAAATGAACTGAATCTAAAAAAAATTGTTGCTAGTAACGTGACAGTAATCACAGAATACTGTGTCCCGCATTTAATTTTTAAATTTAGATTAATCTACCAATACAGAATAATAATGGGCACAGAATAATTATGTATGTAAAATCTATAGGTGGACACTTACCATTAAAGATATCCGTGTTCAAAAATCTTTTAATCAAGGTCATAGGCAATTCGTAAAAAATATATAGCACTATGGCCTTATTTACTTTGTCTGCCTATTTCTTTATTAACTACTCGTATAATCTTTTGGTATATAACATCAGAACGCTCTGTATGTTCTAAATCTATAAATAAATACGTTGTACCTTTTGTACCACCCACTTGAATGCGATGTTATAACCGATCTGGAGGAGCTTACGCTAGTTCTATTTCAGCTTACAATATTACTGTGATATAATCGGTACAATAAAATTGTGTAGGTTTGTAAATTTTTGTGTTAAAATTGATCATTCGTGTATATTAATTTAATGTCGTCATACGGATAAAAAAAAAATAGCAAAGTAAATTTTACACAAATACGAGTACTTACACAATGAATTAGTTTAGATTTATTAATTTTGTTAAGATTGGAATCGGTTCATTGCTTAAACAATTCAAAAGTAAACTCTTTCGCTTTAAAAATATACGTAATCATCAAAATCTAATCTAGCTGTCGATTAAAAAAGGGTAAGTATTTATTAAGGCATAACGTTTTATTGTTTGCGCTTCATAGGGTCGTATGTTCTTTTGATAGAATGCGCAAGCGAAGATGCAAAATCCCGACGCAAATAGCTGGTTAGAACGACCGACCCCACCGCTGTGAAGCGAGGGTCTCACTTATTACGGACACTTGTCATATCAACACAATGAGCGGCGGCACCCGCGATGCTTTATTATTTTAATTATTGCACGTTCACGATGCGCCCTTTGTGCCGACTGCGAACTCCGACCGCATCTAGGGTTGCCAAATTTGAATAGGAAATATTTTTCTCCCTTGCTTAAAATATGATGTATGATGCAGTTAGAGTGACCCTTGAATCATCCTAGAATCAGTATGATATCGCATAAAAGAATTTAGAACAAGTTTGTCTTGGCAGTTTTGTGATAGATCAGGACTTGAGAATAAATTTATTTGACGACTATGAATAGAATTAAATGTTTCTCGATGCCCACAATATAATTTATTCATACTTGTAAAATATCAAAAATGAAACAATGTATAATATAATCATTTCCTGCTTTAGAAGGAAGCCTGACAACCCTGCTGGCAGACTGTGGCCGTTTGAATTAGTCACTCCTGAATTGTCCTAATTGAAGATCCTTCAAATTAGTGTTCCGCTAAATATAACTATTACAGCACATTATGTTACTGGCTAATTTTGTTTGATAAGTAAAGTACTAATTGTTGATGATTTCATAGTATTACAGTACGAAGATGTCTAAACTAGAATCAAGTTAATCCCAATAATTATAAATAGATGTGGGTTTGAAAGTGTTTATTGCTTATTCACGTTTAAACCAATATCTAGACGGTCTGAATTAACATAAAATCATATTAATAATGTCTGTATTACCGGATGGATTAGTCAGTTATTAATGTGCTAAACGTAATACTATTTGTTACGACGCGCTATTTGAAACCAATATGGCAAGAGGCATATCTACTGGATTATCTCAGGTTGAATTTTTAGCTGTGGTTAAAAACACCGGAATTTAGGTTGAAGCCTATAGATAAAGAATTAAAGCAATAAACCACAACGACCTAACGCTACATATTAATTAATTGATACGAGGTTCTTATGATTTTAACAGGTGCTTTTTATACTGTCAGTGGAAACATATAATTTAGATGTTTCAAGCAGGCTTAGCTGTTAGTAGATAAAAAAATATATAACTCAGTCGAGTAATGGGACAAGACATAAATGGTGCTAAAAAGTGAATGTCATATAAGAGCAGCTTGCTCACGAACAATGCATTGACGACAACAAATGAGAATTAATTGCAACAAATGATCATAGACAATAATCGTACCTACATCTTTAAGTATATGGCACGAAAATTATATACCTACACTATATTTAGCATTAATAATAGAACCTGCCTTAATTGTATTAATTTTTTTTTAATTACATTATTTTTTATCTGTTCTGAATACTTTAAGCTGTTTAAGAACTTGAAATAGGCAAATTCCTAACATTTTATGGTTCTTATCGGTGGCTACTTAGTACTTTTATGCCTATTTTATGGTCTTATTTAGCTTCTCCTTATTTTTAATTGTTTGCTATTTATTGCGAAACCAAACAGTTTCCTTTTTAAGGTATAGACGTTTCTCTGGAAAACACGAGGTATGGTAGAAATAGGATTTTATAAAGTAGCAAGTCGCGTCTCCAAGACGGGCCGCTGCATACTTTACTCTCTCCACTCTGGATCCGATCTTCATAAAGAAATTCTCCGTTTTGATATTATATTTATATTGTAAACGTTTCGTACCTGCATATTTCTAACAGTAAATATGAAAATTTCCGGAATGCCTACGACCTCGCCTCTCGGATCTCGGGGAAACAAAGCGTATTTTGTATTAAGAAAATGTTTGTTTAAATTTTTCGCCTCAAATTGAGTTTTTAAGATTCAACCTAGGACTATTTGTATTTATAATAAACTAGACGTCGTCGATGACTTTGGCCGTTAGTTTTCAATTCTTAATTTTTATTTAAATCGCTTTGAGATTTCAAGCCATTTCTCTACTAATCAAGCACCCAACTAACGTAATTAGACCGACCATAAAAATAATACCCAATTTCATTCATATAATAACTATACAGATGTAATAAATTACTTTAGTGTTTATAAGATAATGTCACGTCGAGTAGAATAAAAAATTAGGGTAAAAAACCTTTAGTGTAAGAAATCTTGCGTGAAGATAATAGATGTATTATTAGTATGTAATGCAACCTATTTATTTGGTTACAATAACTATGGCTGAACATCCTGGTAAATCAATAGCCCGACGAGTTCAGGGGGGTTAATAATAGGAATTTTCCACGCGGTCCTTTCTGGAATTTACCGTAGTTAATTCCTGGTGAATTCGTTTTTCGGTTTCCTGTCTTTATAGTTACTTTTCGTCCCTTGCTAGTACCCCATCAACGTCATGTAATAACGCAGATGGAGGTAAGATTTTTCTTCATTAAAAAACCTAACGAGCTCTGAGAACTTTATCGGAATGAAATTTATAAACCATAGCAACATGAAAACAATTATCCGCAGAACGAAATCTCTGCTTTGCTTACATTGACGTATTAGTGTATCGTAACGGCCACGATGTGATTGGAAGTTTACAAGCGGGCATCCGACATGGTAAACAAACAAACCGCTTGACGTCAGAACAGCGAGAGTAGAATCAAATTGTATGCACGTTACCTTGTTGCACACTGCTATTGGGCCATTTCATGATGTTTGTGTAATTTAATTAATAATGTAAACATAATTGTTTTAATTTATTATTAATATTACTAGTTCTTATCCACGTTTTCAGGGTGGAAAGGGATTGTTAGTAATGAGATTTAATAGCCTCATTGCTAGCAATACACCCTATCAGGTCGAACTCCACGCGGTTCCTCCTGAAAACCATAGTGATTCATTCTTGTTCAATTGGTCACTATGGGCCAATTGACCTGCCTTCATCCTCCCCTGTCACCCTTTACTGGTGCTCTGCCAGCATATACCGATATTACCGCGGGCGGGTTACTATTCCATCTTCACCCATTAAATACCCACGTTTTCATCCATGAGACTAATAGAATATATTAATTGATCGAGGAAAAAAATAACCTATGTATTTCTCAATCCTACGTTGTACTTGTTGTAATGTACCTATACTCATTTTCGTATTTTTAATATTCGTAACGGATTTTAATAATATAGTCATACTTCATCCTTAAAAGGGTATTAATAAAATAGAAATCATTGCACCCTCTTAAGGGAATGGTCTCACTACGTGTGTGGTTTTCATTTCTACTGCAGACACGAGTCTATGAGTTCATAATGTAGGTAGTCATATATTTAGCTATTCTAATAAAGTAATGGTAACTTCACCTAAAACCTGTCAAAATCACTAGACTTTAAATAAAAACCACTGCATTGAAATCGATCTATACGTTTTGAAACTACGATGCCACCAGCAAACTTCAAACTTTGTCACGTTAACACTCCTCTTTTTGTGAATTCGGAGTGAACAAAATAACACCTTATTTATGTCCGCAAAATAACACTTGGTTGGAATCGGCTAAACTAAATACTTGTAACTACTAAACAAATAGAAACTTAATATTGGTATTTTATTTATAAATTTAAGTCTAGTAAGATTGTTAAATTTGTAACGATGTTAAAATAATTATTGTATATCAAAATGACTGAACAGATATGGGTTAAATTTTATATGGCATATGAATTATTTTCTGAATTAACACAAGGTACTTTTTATCCTAATTCCCATGGGATATAATTAATATATAATGTGAATGTTTGTGAAAATATTAAAACGTTTTTTACTCAATTGAATAAAATTGAATCGCCAACTATTTAAGCGGAACGGTAGTCATGTATAGATAGATATTGCAAATTTACAAATATTTTTTTTCCTAACCTCCTTAATCACTCTTCATTTTTATTCGCGATTTACCCGCAATCTTTTTTTTGTGTTGGATGTTAATGAAATAGTAACCCCGTATGTGCTATCAATATATGCTGGCGGTGAAGGATAACAGGCGAGGATGAAGCAAGTCAAATGAACCATTGTGACGAATTTAACAATAATTAACCACAGTAGTTTCCAGGGGAAACCGCGTGGAGGTCGACTGATAAAGTATACTGCTAGAACTATTAGACCCCATTACCAACAATTCTTTTCTACAGCTAATAGTAAATAACAATATTTTTATTTGTTACAGCGAGCGGCGCGCTCGCAGCCGGCACCATTGCGTCCCCGTGGAGCACGGCGGCCGGCGCGCCCGACACCAACGGCTCGGGCGGTGCCGACGCCAAGCACCTCGACGTTGGTGATGCTAGTGACGATGAAAAGGTATTATAAAAATAAACAATTATGCCTCATAACTACAATCAGAGACGTTCGTCGACTGTAATCGATGTAACGAACTTAACACTCGACATGAACACTTTTTGCCTACATTACATTCACCTATAGATAGATATTTTACGCGATGAAAATAGAATGATAATGTCACCTGTGCTATAGGTATACTCTGCCAAGGTACGAATGAAAAATGATTGATGATGAAGAAGTCAGATCGTTTGACCTATCGTGACATCCACGTGGTCGCTTCTGCAAGAGAAAAAAAGAGAAGTCTACGTAGTCCGTTTGCAGAGGGGACCACGTGAAGGTGGACATGACAGGGTATATTGTTAGCAACGATACCGCTGATCTTTCATTGTTTTTGAGATCCATAGTTCTTAACACATAAGAGATACACATCCACCAAAATGACAATGCGTTATATATTGTAGTGAAATGTACATAGTAGCTAACAATACACATATTAGTAATAATAGCGAGAAATAATGGACAAATATTGACTACAAGTGGTTTAACCGAAGCAGAAACACGCTTGTGGCGTTTCAAGGAATTGTGATTCACGATGTTTTCGTCCGTCCGTCGCTGGACCAAGCCGAGGGCGGTTATTTTTATTTTCTTTTGAGAATAGAACTGAGTCTATTAATTATAGTGACGCACTCTTTGCCTTCAATCTGAAACTGTAAGCGAACGCCATACATTTGTTAATGTTGATACATCTGTTTTATGTTGTAAACGCAAAGACTTGATAAGCCTACCAAATTCATGTTAATTTTATTGGCAGAATTTATGTAGCCAAGACAGTAACATATTCAGTAGGTATAGTCACCAAAAAAAATATTTTTAAATGCTGTATCTGATCTAAATTATAATCATTTAGCGTATTTTAAAGTTAATTATAAAATTACTGTTTCTTTGAATATGTCAATGTAGTATTATAATATTATTATGTATCCACTTTTTATAAGTTTCCTTATAATATAATCAGTTACAATTTAATAATAGACATGGTATTAATAAGTCTTAAAGAACGTAATAAGCCTATTCATCATTCCAGTTGTAATTTATAGTTATAAAACAAAATGACAGACATCCAACGAATAATATAACAAAATAACCATAAACTTTAAATAATTTTATGTATATAATATGGATATATAAAGATATTTACACGTACAGACGTACAGACTAAAATTTACTAAAAAACTTGTAGGTATATAGTAAGCTATATTTTGTTAAATATATCTGAAAATGCTCGCAAACAACTGAAAATATCTCTATTTTATGTTGAATTTTCGTTTCTCACGTCAGTTTATTATTATTGAACAATTTAAGATTCTGCTCAAAAAAAAAATACAATTTAAATTGTGGCAATACTAGTTATTTTTATTTCATATAATAATTTATTATTTTGATAAAAGTTTTTTCACCAATCTGATAGTATTTAGATATTTGAAAACAAATTGAAAACAATAACAAATATAAAAAATAACTGAATTAAGAACCTCCTTCTTTTTTGAAGTCGATTGAAAATTCATTGTCTATTTTGCAAAACTTTATTTATACAACTAGAAATGGCTAGCTGTAGTCGCTGTTATCCTGATGTACACAGAAGAAATAAGAGTACCGACATGAGACCAATGTTTCAATTTATTTCATTAAATTTAAATAAAACCACTTCCACTATACGTTACAATATTTAGTAGTACACCTAAATATACCTATTTTACAGGACTTGTCAGCGGCAGACGCGGAGGGAGTATGGAGTCCGGATATCGAGCAGAGCTTTCAAGAAGCGTTGGCAATATACCCACCGTGTGGTCGCCGCAAGATAATACTGTCGGACGAGGGCAAGATGTACGGTGAGTCCAGGACATGAATGTCCAACACGAATGGAGGAAAAGGACACAACGCCGCTTAATATTAATAGACTAACAAAGTTGCAACCGTACCGCAAAGTATAATGATTTCTGTAATAACATCTGAAAGTCAACAACTATTATAACGCTGCCTGAATACGCATTAAAGGCAATTTCCTCACAATAGAGTGTGCGTGTTAAGTCTATATTTACACATATCGTACTTTGCGTGCTTTACTGTTTGTACACGGCTTGGAGTCATTTTCTTCCAATTCGTAGTCTCCAAATCTCGCTAACCTCAAATACATACCAATAAAATCGTCCTATATAGGTATGTAACCAAAAAATTGAACACATTTCGACATTTTAAAATTATTTTAAATTAACCATCATCAACTCTCTTACCGTGTGGTCCCGGCATAGAATAGGCCACCCCTTCCTTTCCCGAGGGTGTCGTAAGAATCGACTAAGGGAAGGCGAGGGATGGGCAGCAGCGTCTCTCTTAAAACATCTCTAAAATCTAACTGCGGTTGCCAACCCGCCTGCCAAGCGTGGCAACTACTGGCAAAACTCCCCAAAGGGAGACTTATGTTCAGTAGTGGACAGTTAAAGGCTGATATGATGATGATGATCATTATCATCTCAGTTATTATCCGTCCACTGGCGAACATAGGCTTCTCCCATAGACTGCCTTAAAAAATATTTTTAAATAATGTAATGCCGCAATTGTTCTAAAAATAAGTCTGAACTCGACAACTAATATGCAATAAGGGTTCCATTTTCATTGTTCAGTGACCTAATTACGTACAGGAGCAGAGTGTAAACGAAAGGGCCGATACTTCGAATACGAGTATGTACGCGCGTGAAAAGCACGTTTCAGCGTCGATTTATATTACTCGTTGTATTTGTTTTAGTGTTTAAGAGGAAGAGGGAGTGGTCAGAGTATTAAACAAATATTCTTTATTTAATGTTTGAAATTGAATTGAAATAACTATAGCCTCCTTTTATGAGAGAGTTCTACTAATTAAATTTAACTATTTCTCATAGGCACAGACAATCACTATCATCATATCAGCCGTTAAATATCTACTGCTGAACGTTGTCCCCTCCCCACGGGGGATTTTGCCAGTAGTTGCCACGCTTGGCAATAGGTTTGGCAATCGCAGTTAGACTATGATGATGTTTTAAGAGTTTAATATCATTTAATAAAATTTCATAATTTAAACTACATAAGCAACAATGCTGCTGCTTGTTGAGTGTTGAGAGAATGTTATGAGTGAGAATTTTAGGTCTCAAATTGTACCACCCTACATCCGAGCCGCGTCCGCTTAAGTTAGGCCACTAAAAAAGTGTTGAACCTACCGTGCAAACAAATGACTAACTAGCTCGCTAATGTCTTCCTTTACTATGAAACGCTACATAATAGTCTACTGTTGGATTTGGAAACAAACTTTTATTGGAACGGTACAATATCGATTATTAGTTGATTAGTTACAAGTTTTTTAGTGGTAGATACATTTATTTTGAACTTGTTCTATAATTAACGCTATTTTTTTTTTCTAAAAGCACTTTTTAATTAGTCATTTAGAAACTATAATAATACGATACAATCACAACAATTGCACGGTCTCTACACTAAAATACCATGTGTTTTAAGGAACCAAACACCAATATTTGAGGACATCATTCAGATCCCAGCCCAAATTAGAACAATTCTTTTTCTAAACTGGCTAACCGAGAATCGAAACCGGGACCCCATTTACATAGAGCAATGTGCCCACCGCTGTGCCACGGAAGAAGAAATATTAAAAATTGTTTATATTTAACAATTGTCAGAAAATGCACACGTCGCGTGACTTCGACACGGAGGCTCTTAATTCCCATCCCACTTGTTTCACTCACGTTCACATTACTTGCATGTCAATTTCGTTGAATTATAAAGCGATATCAAGGCCGACCTGCCTAAAACGAACAATGGATGTGGCACGAGACAAAAGGTAGTAGGTATTGATGTCAGCCGACAAAGCGGTTTGCGCAATAGGATTCCGAGGAACGACGTGAACTGACAATTATTATCTCGAGATCGTAGCCGGCCGCTGATTCGGGGAACGAGAGTGGTGCTGCTCACAATTTACTTACTTCAAGAAATTAAGGGACTCATTTTTGTTTGTCAATTAACCATTAGAATACAATCAGGATTTCGTTCGATTACTACTTTTTTATTCATTGTCTAAACAGTCTAGACTCCAGATCCTATATATAATGCATGTCTATGCTGTTCTTATTATTATTAAAGTTTACTTCCTTACTACTTTAAAAAGTTAAATACTAGCCTTTAAACTTGAATTTGTCTGCATGATATTGATGGACTGAGATAAAAAAAAGTAGATTATGTCTTCCACTGCCCCTAGTACATGCGTGTTAAATTTTGTGACGACTGGTTAAGCTTTTAAAGCACTAAGAAGTCACAAACAAATTCACTTTTACATTTATAATACTAGTTTTATATTATAAAAAAAAAAGAAATTTAGTAACGGGGTTTGTTTATTTATTAGTATTAGCCCCTTTCCGTGTTTTAATGGCTTAACTTATTATTATGAAATTTAACATGCTTTGTATTAGGCATGAAAAATAACACAGTATTCTACTATTTATCCCGACCATGTGGATAAAGTCATGAGCATAACTAGTGCAAAAATTAATCATCTCTATTTTATGTTTTCATAGTTAAACTACCAAATTGATTAGACAACGAAAATTGCTACCAAAACATGTAAAACAATAAATAGAGAAAACATTAAAATCGGAATCATGAAATAATGTGTTTATATGCTTTAAACATGATTAAAGTAATTAAACACGACTGAAAGCGTTATAACAACGTTGTGTCCAATTTAAAGCCGAATTCATTACTTGATTATTTAAATGAAAGCTTGTACTGGTAGGGTGAGGACGGAGCGAATTTTTTCACGTAACTGTTAACTAAGGAAACTCGTTAGTGGGACGTGACGATTGCTGGCAACATAAACCTTTTGTCTGTAAATTAACTGTTGGTTAAATCTTCAGTACAAAAAGTGTAATAATTTGATAACAGGATTGGGTGGATTCGCAGTAACCAGGACAATGAATTTAATAATGACGTATATCGTAAATGCTATACTCGTAGTAAAATAATATCTCCAAATTTGGTTACCTTTATTTTGCATTTGTGCATTGAAAAATAGCTTCCTATTTTATGGACAAAGTGGTATAATAACATTAATATGCTTTTACATTTCATGTGTGGTAAATAAATACATACGAATATATATCTACTCCACTTAATGTGGCCTGCTAAACATAACAATGCAATTTTACGAGGTTTATTATGCCTGAACTAAAATTCATCGAGAATTGTTTATTACTAGACTTCAAAACTTGCATTAAAATAAAAATTATCCCTATTTTTATATATCTTAGAGTTCTGTACTAGTTTAGTATAAAAGTATGAAAAATTAGAAGAAATTATATGCTAGTCATGATCGCTTCTTGTGGCAATTTTTTTTATACCACGAAGATGGCGAATAGCCATACAGCCCGTCTGATAGTAAACAGTTACTATAGCCTATGGACGCTTGTAACATTATGGGTGTCACGTGTGCATTGCCGATTCTGAAGAAACATTAATATACTATTTTTGAGGAACCCATACTGTATTCTCTAGGGAAAACTTTTGACCGTTGTTAATTTCTGTGGATACTAAAAAAAAAGCTCTGACACCTATAGAATGTCAGATGAATATTACCTGCTTAGTAATGTCTAGCTTCTGTGACACGTTGTTTAAAAGTAGAATCAACGGAGAATCACCAAAGGACTGAGCATTACGACGGACGCACATTATCTCCGCATCAAGCCAACATAATACCAGCTTTAATTAAAGGACTGGCCGCCCTGTCGCGGTGCCAAATGGAATTGCTAAACAAATTGCCGCAGGCTATGTGTCCACCTTAAGTGATTTAATAGACGGAAAGAAATTCAACGTTTAAATTACTTTTAATCTTGCGGCGGAGAGCGACCCTTGAATTACTGTTTGGACTTAGAATGCGAAGGGTTTCCCGGAGCTTCATAGCTCTCTGTTGCTTAATTATATTTAGTCTATTTCGCAGACGATCGCTCAATCTTGAAACGTTTCAATCTGCGAACGTTATTGCAGACTAACTCATAATTATGTATATTGTTATTGTATTACGCAAGTTTTAGCCTTATATCAAATATAATTAAAATATGAAGTCATATTTTGATTTTTTATATCTGTAAATATACATATTTAGTATTAGACTTCTTGTTACTAAAGATATATTAACGATTAGAGTAACTGTGATTGTTTTGACTTACATTGCCCTTTAATGATAAAATTTTGACCGCTGTCAAAAATAATGTTATGTGATCTCTTTGCCAATTCTAAACCGACTGTGATAATTCTTTTTGCATTAGACCTTACTCCCATATAAATAGGGTCATGATTAAAGTTGCTGCTTTTTCCAGTCGTCTTCAAAATGAAAAATATTCTCAATTCGCTTGTATTTTTTTTTTTATGTTTGTTACCTCATAACTCCGTCAGTTCTAATCCGATTTTATTTTTTTTTTAAATATAAGGATATGCTTATAGATTGATCTCATAGAAATTTTATGAAAATTGATTTAGTAGTTTACTTTTTAGATCAAAATAACTGGTTTTACCACAATTGTCAGTTTTTTGTGTAAAATACAATCTTTAATTATTGTACAACAAAATAAATAATTTATTTTCTAACATTGCTTCATGTTCTCTCTCATATTCTCAGATTACAATCTCTCTCTCTCTCTCTCTCTCTCTCTCTCTCTCTCTCTCTCTCTCTCTATTAAGAAAATAATCAATGGAAAATGATAGTGCATATTTCGTCATAGTCGTAGAATACTGACGGATCTTTATATGTAATCTTTGTCAGATCCGTCAGTATTCTACGACTATGACGATATGTGTG